ATAGTGTTCAATGGTAAGGAAGAGGAAACTCAAAATGAATAACAGGAAAAACTACAAGCTGGTTTTCATTTTGCAAGAATAGCTTTTCTTGGGCTACCACTGTTTGGCACGTCAGTTGAATCCCTTGAACTCATAAACTTAAAGAAAAAAAAAAAAAAAAAAAAAAAAATACAAGAAACCATGAGGATAGATTCTGATCCTGTGTCTCTCAGCCTGTGCAAGCCCATGAAAGGTCAAATTTGCTAAGACCAAGACTGATGGATTCTCCAGGACAGGTTTCCTGAAGACAGCAGGTCCCCCTCTCTTCCACGGTCTCTGTTCTGGGACCACAGCCTGCAGGTGTGGGAGACACAATAGGAGAGCATGCATCTAGTCCTGGTCTACTGCGTGGCACACTGTGTTGGCTGGGGTTTCTCCTATTTCACGACCTGATGAATCAGATTCTCACGGTGCATATTCTTTTCCCTTGGAGTCAACTCCGCCCCTTGTTTTGAATTCTAGGTTTAAACTCTGAGCAAGTATGACTTACAAAAATTGCAAAGCAAGTTTCCTGGTTACATGTAGACAGAGTGTTGGATTTGAGTGAAGTGTTAACTGATGTATAGGATATACAGTAAGGTCATCTGAAGAAGGAAGAAAACAATGAGCTCCTCATGGAGAAATAATTTAATAATTTAATTTAATCGTTTGATCCAGCATCTAGCACACAAAAGTCTCAGAAAATGTAGCTAGTGTTGAGCAGCCATTTACCAAGGAAGAGGTTGAACTGGGTTCCCGCCTATGCATATTTGAGTTTGTTGTCTCGGTTACTTACGGCCGAGTGACTGCAGCAGGCACATCAACTCTGTGCCTCAGTTTCCTCATCCCTAAAATGAGAATAATGGGAGTACCAGCTTGTTATAAATTGTGAGGAATGAAATCCAAAAACCCTACACATGGTAAGTTCTCAATAAAATCTTAGCAATTATAATCTTTAGGGTATGAATTGGCAAATGGTTTTACCTGTCGCATAAAATTTTGGGAAGTTTATATAAAACAACTGTAAAAATACTTGGCAGAGCTTCTAGTTCATATCAAGTACTTGCAGTTAGATATTACTCCAGAGATTATTCCTATCATGATATTGGTATTTCACTATGCTGAATAGGGACTTGGAGTACAGCTCAGTGGTAGAGCTCATGCTTAGCAACACATTTAGCACCCAGTTTAGTCCACAGCACTACCAAGAGGAGGAGGGAGGGTTAAACTATGTTGACTAGTTCTTTACTGAGTATACAACTGATTTCTACATTTCTTCTGTTATTTAATATTAACAATTAGATGCTCGCATGAGTTGATTAAAAAAATCATTTTCACCTATGGCTAATAAAAATATATGGGCTGAAAAGGATTATAATAACACAATTAAAGAAAACACAAAATGTATTAGCCTTTTTGGAAATGTCTTTCTTTACTCTTTTCCAACTCTGTAACACAATTTTCTGTATTTTTGCTGTTTTATCATATGAGTTAAAGACATTTATTTCCTTCAAAGTAGTTTGAGTCAGTCTCCTGGTGTTCAGCTAAATTAAATGCTGGTATTTTGGAACAGAATCTGTTGACACAAATGTATTTGGCATCACTGGGGAATTTAAAACTACAGATGGTGTCATGATCCCTCAAGCTCCCAATGACAGTATTACTACTGAGGAGAACTGCTGTTAAAAAGTTTTATGCTGTCATTTCTACTCTAAACATGAGGGCATGTTAGTTTCTGGTAGGCATTGGCAGGTATAAAGATTAAACAATAGTTTTCCAAACACTCTTAATGTACACTGGGATTGATCAAGAAAATAAGCATGAGAAGGGGCAGGGATTTAGCTCAGTGGTGCCTCACAAGCTGCCTCACAAGTGCAAGGTCCTGAGTTTGATCCCCAGTACCGGAAAAAAAAAGAAAAGAAGCTTGAGAATCTGGTAAGATATGCAGGAGGACCTGTGCAGTATTTTACTTACCTTCTATCTGATTTGGGGATGATTCTGTGGGGATAAAATCCATTTCTTCACTCACCTTGTCCAAGAGGCATATCTGATTTACCAGGAAGAAAGAGATGGCATGCTTGAGATTTTGTTTTGCTTTTGCCCCAGATTATTTCTAGACTAGAAAATTCCCTCGTGGTCAAATTCAACTAAAAAATCGAAGAATTCAGAAAACTGGTCTGGGAAGAACATGGATAGCCCTGGGGCTTCTGCAATAACTTTTTCTTTTTTTAAAGAAGTAACACAGGGCCGGGGATTTAGCTCAGTGGTTTCGCCGCCTGCTGTGCAAGTGCAAGAACCCAAGTTTGATCCCCGGTACCAAAAAAAAAAAAAAAAAAGAAGTAACACAAGGTGGCCCTTAGTGCTGAATAACCAGATTTTGTCACCCAGCCTGGGTTTCAAGTTTTCATAGAGTCTTTCAGAGATCAAAAGAGGCATTGGCCACTTTCATATTAAACAAAAAACAAAAAGAAGAGGAGAAAATTATACCAAAATAGGGTGACAAAAATTGTGGTCTATCTTAGATGTCAATATGTAACAAGTAAACAATTTCAACATACATTCAGCTCTTCATGCCATTTCTGGAGTAATTAAGAGTTGTTGGGGGTATTAAAAATATTGGCTCATAGTTCCTAATAAATGAAGGCCAGGGTTAAAGTTGACTGCTGCTATCTTGGTTCTTCAAGTCTGCCAGGGCGCCTCTAGAACTATAGGGGTGACCAGAGGCACCGAAGCACTTTGTGTCAGTGAACCCCCAGGCCTATGGCCCTCCTGGCATGGGGTGGGGGCATGCTTCTTATGGCAGGGTGTTGGTACTTGGGAATGTCCAGCTTGAACAGAGAGCTATCATGGCCTGTCTTTTTTCATGTCAAGGGAGCAGATCAGCCCAAAAGCCATGACTGAGCTGGCATAGCTACTAATGGCATCCGTTTCATTTTTCCAATTCACATGCTCTGAGTTTTCAAGAAAGTCAAAAGTAGTCCAGAGCAGAAAAAACAAATTTGTGTAGAGTCCATAGGCCTTGTGCAGGTGGGGTCTGATGGAGATTTTGAGCAGAAGGAAGCAAAAATAGGTACCTATGCCCCCAAAAGAAGTTTCTGATGAGGACTCTCCATAAGAGAGGACTCTGTTCATAACAGACAGGGGTCTGAAGACTAAAGGACTCCTGAGAGGAGTGCTCTGGTCAAAGTTGAGTCCACCCCTTGCGGGCTTTATTTCTTCTGCAGCCATTGCTTCTGACTTGATAGCAGTTTCAAGCTGGGTAGAGCAGAGATAATTTTGTTTCCCAACCTGATTGATGGAAATTGTCCATGACCCTAAAACTCAGTTTGCACATATCAGAGGAGGCTAATATTTCTGTAACCCTAGGGGGACACCAAGAGGGGCTAGCACCCAAGAGCAGAGTGTTAGCAGGTGGCAGTTGGTGCCAGTGAGCTAGAAAGGCCTGAGGACTGGGAGCTTGGTGTCAGACACAGGGAGATGGAGCAGACATATGGGAGGGGAAGGGTGAGCAGCCAGCTGGCTTTAAAATGGGGAAAGAGGTTCCACTGAGTGACTCCATAAGAAAGACTTACGGTTTAATGATGGCTTATCCAGTTCATTAGGGTGGCCAAGTGGGATCGTGTGGGCTCAAGAGCTTAGGACTTGGGCTACATATCCTAGAAGATCTTCTCCCTGCCTCTCTCCCAAAACTTCAAGGTTCACTGCTCAATATTTGACAAGAAAGTTATAAACTTTTTGATTCCTCTGGTCTGGGCTCCAAACAAGAACCTCTATAAAATAGTCAGGGCCAATGGCTTTTCCTCGGTTCCCCCAGGACACCTCTTCTTCCTTCTAAAACACACTCAGAAGTCCTTCTCAAGGACTGTGGGGACTGAGGACCTAGTGGAATCTGATGCCTCTTCTGTGCCCATCTCCTTCCACCCTGTAGATATCTTTGCCTTTCCTTAAGGCAGTGTTCTGCTGTACATTTGCCCCCCAGATGCCCACAGGCAGGACTGTACCCTCACTAATTCAGGCCTCTTTGTGTGACTCTGATTAATCTGTTCTGACTGCCATACAGGGTACCCGAGACTGGGTGTCTTAAACAATAGACATTTCTGTTCTTGCAGTTCTGTATGTGGAAGTCCAAGATGAAGGCGCCTGCAGGACTGGCTATTGCAAGGCTCCTGAAGTAGGGATCTGTTCCAGGCCTCTCCCCTTGGATTGCAGACATCAGTCTCTTCTGTGTCTTCACATGGTGTCTTCTCCATGCATCTGCTCCCAAACTTCCTCTTATAAGGACACTACTCAGTAATCGCTTTTTTAAACCATCATAAAGACCCTATTTCAAATACAGCCACGCTCTGAGACTCCTAGGGTTAGGACTTCAACATAGAAATTTTGGTGGTGAGTACACACAACACAGCCCCAAGCAGCCTCTTACTAGAGAGGGGTGCTCCTATTAACTGACCAGCTCTTATTCATTTATTATTTATTCATTATTCTTGAAGGTCTCTCTTTGTTTAAATATCAACCCCAGGGCCAAATTCTTTATTATGTTAAGTGACATTGTTCCAATGTCTAGCTCACTGCCTGCAGAGTAGCAGGCCCTTGATGAATATTCATGAGTGGGTAAATGCATATTGTGAAATCATTACCAATTGCTTGCAAAAAAGCAATCACAGAGAAAGCTGTTCAAGGTAGGCTGTTAAGTGAAGAAAACAAATTACAAAAGCCATGTAAGTAGCATAGCTTTATTCTTAAATTACACACATATAATTTCTTTTTATAGAAATGAAATTTAGAGAAATATGCCACAAAATACTAATAGCAGGTGTGCTTAGGGTGAGACTTTGATTTATTCTTTTGTTTATCGTGTATTTCTCTTGTTTATCATAATTTTTCTACAGTGAATATGTTATTTCTGTAAGATAAAAAAATGAAACTTATTAAAAATTAGACATTTTGTCATCACTTTTAACTGGCTATTAAGAAAAAATTACATTATTTTTCTTTTCCAGTGGGGAGTGTGGGAAATATAGAGTGGCTAAAAGAATGACCTGTGGAATATGCCTGTTCTGGAGTCCTCATTTGTCACTTTGTAGGTTGGCAGTGCCCTGTGTGCCTGTCACTCATAACAAGTCCTGATTTTTCAATATGAGATAGAGTAATAATTGCACTGTCAGCACATGGGGGCTGCTTCTGGTCTCTGGTCCAGACTAAAGTTGATTCTTTTGATCTCAATTTGGAAATTACAGGACACCAAGAGTCAGAGACAACGCCAATGGTTTGGTTGTATCCATTTTCATGAGCAGGCCAAGCAATACCCTTCACATTGCTTTTGGGCAAAGAGCCTGGACTTGAGTTTACATAGTATAGGCACCAAATTTAAGGCACACTGCAAAAACTTAGCCAGATAAATAATTGTGCAATATTTTAAAAATATAAATTTTGTAAAAATCTATAATGAACAAAGTATCAACAACAATTTCAATAAAGACAGTAAAGTATTAATGCTTTTTACTTTGTCTCAGGCTTCATTATGACTCACAACAGCACTGCTTCTAGCCCATGACCTAAAGGTAGGAGACTATCAATTATCCTAATCATGATTAATTACTTAACTATAATTAATTATGTAAATGATCGTGCCCCTCAACCAACATCTCATGCCATGATTGTTTAGCCTTCAGTGATGAGACTTCAGCAAGAGAATGTATATTTTTCTGACCTTGCTTATTCCTTTATCCCATATAAGATACCTCATCATAGCTCTCTTACCTCACTGAGGACTCGGAGGGGCAGGATTTATCCTGTTCTTTTATAGAAACATAAAATGCCAGCAAAGCATGATTTCTACCCAAAAGAGCACTAAGCAGACTGCAGATGTTGCAGACTCCTCCCCCAGTACTTCTGGAGAAGAACAGGCGACCTTGGCCTGCCTTGCTTGGCAACGGGGCAATAGCCAGCATCCCATCTACTCCCCAGAAGGAGTGACCTTTCTGTGGTGAGGTCGAGTAGGTCTTTGATCCCAGTTGAGGGCTTCCCTGAGCGACTTTCATATCATCGTATCATGGGATTTTTGTGTGTATTGATTTACTCACATGTAAAGTATTTCACAGTATACACATGCCATTGTTAGTTAAAAGCAATAACAAAAGTCACATTTAAAATCTTGTTTTATGTAATAGTTTCATTTAACACATGATTCATCTTTTGCTGAAACCATAAATTCTACGTTGCTTTGTAAAGGCAATCACTAAAAAAGTGATATTCTTAGTGTGTATATTTTAGAAAATTTCCCCTATGTTTTCAGTTTGATTTAATGTGTGGAATATCACAGAATAGATTTAACTTATGGAGATGTTTCTGAAAGCACCTGTAGAATTCTATGTTCTGTGTAGCTACTGAAAAACCCAATGGATAATGGTGGAAGGGATTATTTGGCTACCAAATGGTACATAAGATTTAGATTTGGCGCCACCTGCCTTGCAGGTGCAAGGACCTGAGTTCGATCCCTGGTACCAAAAAAAAAAAAGATTTAGATATGGTAATTTTAGCATGATCCAGTGTAAAGTAGTGATCCAGATGAACTTCATAATAGTGAACAAAGAGGCCTTTTTTTTCTTTAAATGAGAGAATGTAGCTCGTCACAATTCCCCTTCCTCCCCTAGTGTTTTTGGTACTGGGGATCGAACTCAGGACCTTGCACTTTCAAGGCAGGTGGTGGAACCACTGAGCTAGATCCCCGGCCCTCCCTAGTATTTTTTGATTAATGTGTTTATTGGAAACATGGACCACACCAGGATTACATAGCTGTGTTCTATAGGAAGTCTGGCTTGTTGAAGGCCACTTTGATGTGAGAGATGTCCAGCTAGTCCCAGGTGTTCCAGACCTCACAAACCAGGCATCTGATTTGCAGTGAAGAAACCATCAGGGACGTTCCAGCCTCAGAGATACAACGTGGACTGGAACTGGGGAACCTGGGCATCACCAGAGCTGGCACTACTCCTCAGGTAGCCATCTCGGCCATGTCAAGTTGCTAGATCAGTCCTCTGCAGCTGAGGCCCCATCATCCTGGCACAGGCACAAACAATCTCCAGCGTGCCCTGCCTAATCTTCTAATCCCAAATCATGAAAAGAGTGGGGAGGGGCGCGCAGGCCAGGCATTATACTTAATGTTGGAGATTAGAAAAAAAAACCATTGTTCTATCATGAAGGAGTATCTAGCAGGGGTGTCAAATAAGAAAGCAATTACCATACAATGTGATGCAGTGTTGTATGGGTTTACAGAAGAAACTGATTATACCCAAGATGTTGAGAATCTCACTGCAAAGGAGGCCACACAAACCTCAGAAAATTAGTAGAAGCTTCCCAGATATCCAAACTGGAGCAGCTACACAGTTTCCAATTCTGGATTTTACAGGTAAATCTCTGCCTGCAAATAATAGGACAGAGCTGGTTTGGACACTCAGGCTTTTATTGTTACTATGGTCTCGGAATCTTTCTTGGCCCCTGTTGGGCAGAGCACTAATTGCACCATCACTACACCTCTTTATGTGCATATTGTATTTCATCCGTGTGACCAGTGCACCTAAGAAGGAAGTGCTCAATGGAGGTGCAGCATTATTCATTCGGGTCCATGAAGGGCACCCTACAGAAGCCAGGCCCACTCAGTAGGAGTCCAGGCCATTGCCCCAGTCAGATGCAACCTAAGTTGTTGGGTATTGTGGTTTTAATTTGTCTACTGTGCTTCTTATGCCTATGTCTGTTAAGATGAGGTTTGTGGCCTCTACCTTCATCCAGATTGCTGTCATTATCCCTATGGACAGAGAAATTCTAGAGGCACTTCAGAGGGGACTCCATGCTGTGAAGATAAACACTGTTTTGCCAGTAAGGCAATAGAGCCACTATGAGAAACATATCATATCCTGAAATCTATGAACTTTATTTATTTTTTATTTTTTTTATTTTTTGGTACCGGGTATTGAACTCGAGTCCTTGCGCTTGCGCGGCAGGCGGCGAAACCACTGAGCTAAATCCCTGGCCCTCTATGAACTTTATTTCTAGGATACAAACCTGGCTGAAAAGATTTCTTCAAACTTTTTCCTGCTGTCAAGTTGAATAAAACTCCTCCTCACCCTTTCTTCCTCTTCCTCTTCCTCCTCCTCCTCTTCTAGCACTTTCTGATGTCAGCTTGATTTGAGGAGGCTGCTGTCAAAAAGACTTCTAGAAGAAACCAGAGCAACATGTTATCCTTGCCAGAAAATGGTTCTAATGTAAGAGAACCTTGGTCAACTTAGCCAAGGAGTCCTTTTAAGAGAGACGTTGACACATCTTACAAGTACTAAGATATCACAGAAATGAAACAAGTGGGGGCAAAAAATCCCTATCCTTCCATGACAATGACAGGTTTGGGAGAATAAAGGGGAGCAAATAGGAATAATATGATCTGAATTGAGCAAGAGTTTTATATGAAGCACATAAATGCTTTGGGGGTGGAACATTGTCAGGATTAGGGGAAAAACAATGGACACCATTTCTTTCTTTCTTTATAGTCAGTCTTGTTCCAGCGTGGACTGTGCAGTGAGCCGACTTCCTGGAAAAGTGAAAGATATGAAGCTCTTTGTTACAGTGTGCTGTCAGGGTCCCTTAGAGCCGGGAGAAGAGCCGGCACCTGCATTAGCGAACCAGGAACCTGAGCACATTTCTTTCCTTGCTTGCAGGTGATCTGTGGAAGTAGCAGTAGACTGAGATAGAGTTTAGATTTTCTACAGCACCAGGACAAATGGAAGCAGAAGCAAATAAACCTTATAAGATGAAGAGTAAAGTGCCCAGGAAAGCAACAGGAAGTTCTTAGTCTCACTTGAAACTTTGTTCTACCCCCAAATATCTACTAATCATAGTAGACATTATCTGGCATTGTGGGGCATTATCTGCCCTGATGGCGTGGCGAACTGACATGCTTTTAATTATTTTTTCAAAGCATTTAAATTTTTTAATTAGCTTTCTCATCTCAACTGACTCACTTGGCAAAAACAAACCCATATACTGTAAGAAGATGAGAGAATAGTTGAGGAGTGGAAAAAGACAGGTAAAGGAGGCACTGGACTGTTGTCTAAGGCATGAAAACCAGCACCACTGAGTGCCCAGTTCACTGAAAAACTCAGACTACAATCCTCTGAAGTTGAGAGAGAAACTATTCCACATCATATCAGGTGTGGTAATAATTCTTAAATTTATGTTCAGTCTACATCGAGAACATAGACTCTAGAAAAAACCCAAATATATATATGACTTGCCCACAAAATCCCATTCCATAAAAGCTAGTTATGGCCTTAAAGATGGAAACCAAAATCAGAACAAACATTATATATAATCCTGGTAACCTGACTGCCATAAAATCTTATTGCCACTGACGTAGATTCAGTCTATAGTTTAAGCCTCTCCCCAATTTTTCTATCCTCTTAGCTTAAGAGGTCATTACAAAATTTCTTATATAGATTTTTCATATATACTTTCTTTTTTTTTGGTACCGGGGATCGAACCTGGGTCCTTGCACTTGTTGGGCAGGTGGCAGCAACACTGAGCTAAATCCCTGGCCCTTCATATATACTTTCTAATGGCTTCGAGGTTTTATCATGATCACTTTCTCTTTAAACTGAAATTTCCTTAGTTTTTCCTTACAGATGGTGGGATAGAGAGCTAGTTGCCTTCCACTATCTAGTTGTTTCTTTTCAGTTTATCATCTAAAATTTTTTTTCTAAGCCTCGCTTGTAGCTAGATGTGGCCATCTCTTTAAAGCTTTAAACCAATGATATGTAAGCATTGTGCTATATGAATGTGCTGAAAATCTCCCTTCTTCCCCTCCTCCACTCTGATGTTTGGAACAAAGACACAGTACCTGGGGGAGTGGAGATGATGGGCAATACCAGCTATTGAATCCTGTGGTAGAAGATGAGTTTCATGAGGGCAGGAACTTTGTTTAAACAACAACATGGGCTGGGGATTTAGCTCAGTGTCACCGTGCCTGCTTCGCAAGTGCAAGGTCGTGTATTCGATCCCCAGTACCAAAAAAAGAAAAAGTTTCCCTGAAAATAAAATGTTTTCAAAGCAATGCTTTCAATATCTTTCTGCTTAGCAAGTTTTAAATGGTTTAGCCTTTAAGGTCCAGTGTATCTGTATTTGTATATGTCTGTTAGATGCAGCACTATTTTGGAAAGTGACCTTAGATGTCTTCTGAAAGAATCATCCCAAATGCTATTTAATGACATTCCCAGCCCTTCGGATGACATTATTACTATTACCATGGAACGCAGTCCTAGGTCCTGAGGATTAAAGAGATGTTGGTTCCTGAAACTGAACTTCACAGAACACTGTCTCATTCCACTACAATTTGCCAGACTTTAAAAATTGTTTGTTTTCTTTTTTTGTTCCTAAACATTGCTTGAATCTTTTCAACAGAATTAAAGATTAATCCCCTCGGCTTCCCTGCTTTTTGAAGTGACTTTATCTTCTGGTTCAGAAGATAACACTCCCTCTGGCCCTTTCTGTGATCTCTTGTGCTTTTGTAAATATTCACACTTTTTTCAGCTACATATCATTTTCTTCCTAATTTCCTTTTACTCTTCCCTCAAATTTATTTGCTATTTCTTTTAAATATTTGGAGGAAATAATTAGTACCATCTTCCACTTTTGCGATATACCTGTCTATACTTGAGCTCCTTGTATTTGCTCAAATTTCTCTTCAATTTATTCATATTTGAGGGAGACACAAATCTGTGGGTTAAACCTGCTGTGGGTTTGAAATATTTGAGAACTATTGTCTGTGTACTGAACACATGTGCAGACTTTTTGGCTCGTCATTTTTCCATAAACAATACAGGATAATATTTATTAACATAGCATTTATATTGTATTATATATATTTTTTCTTTTTTGTCTCTCCTCTCTTTTCTTTTTCTGTCAACATCAGATTTATTTTATTTTTAAGTCTTTATCAAGATATTTATCATAAACAGATTAACAGCCAGACTAACATCAAAAAGCATATAAAACACATAAAACAATTACATTAATTAAGGTACACTTTTAGATACATTGGCTGTGCTGGATTACAATAACTTTTTTCTTTCCAGTTGTCTGACTTTTATTTTGTACTTTATATATTCTCTTATATATGAGAGAAACCATGCAATATTTAAACAGTCTGTTTGATTTACTTCACTTAACATTATAGTCTCAAGATGTACCCATTTGCCTACAAATGATCCAAAATTATCCTTCTTTGTGGCAGAGTAGTACTCCACTTTCTTTTTCTAGTCATCTGTTGATGGACATGTAGGCTGCTTCCAAGATTTAGCTATTATGAATTATGCTGCTATAGACATGAGTATCCATGTATCCCTGTATTATAATGTCTTTAACTCTTTGAGGAACATACCTAGAAGGGGAATAGCTGGGTCAAATGGAAGGTCTAGTTTTAGTTTTTTGAGGAATCTCCACACTTTTTCCATAATGGTTATACTAGTTTACATTCCCAGCAACAATGGAGAAGCGTTCCTTTTCCTCTGCAGCCTCTCCAGAATTTGTTATTATTTGATTTCTTGAAGATAGCCATTCCTTCTGGAGTGAGATGCAATCTCAGTGTTGTTTTAACTTGTACTTCTTGAACAGCCAGTGATGTTGAACTTTCTTTCAGTACATTGTATTATATATTATGAGTAATGTAGAGATAATTTAAAGTATATGGGAGCATGTACATAGATTGTATACAAATATGCTATTTTTATATAACGGATTTGAGTATCCTTGGATTTTGGCATCCATGGAGGATCCTAGAACCAAGGCCTCAGATATGAAGGAACAACTATATTTGGTTTCTTTTGAGTATATCAGGCTTCTTTGAAGCATAGATTTCTGTACACATAATTGCTTTTTTATTTTTGCAGTCCTGTCAATCGAACCCAGGCCTTGTACAAGCTAGGCAAGGCCTCTACCACCGAGGTATGCCCTTGCCCTTTTTTATTTTGAGACACAGGATCTCACTTTGCCAAGGCTGGCCTTAAACTCACGATCCTCCTGCTTCAACCTCCTGAGTAGCTGGGATTACAGGCATGTGCCACCACTCCTGGCTATAATTGCCTCTTTCCCAGAGTGGCTTTTCAAATAGAGAAAAACAGAGGTCTTCAAATAAGTTCTTCCTAAACTTCTCCTCCACCAGAAATGTCTCTGATCACATAAATTCTTGCTTCTTCTTTGCTTCTTTTTTGTTTTTGTTTTGTGCTGAGTGTTTAACCCAAAGCCTTAGCACTGAGGTACTTTCCCAGCCCTTTCCTGTATGTATTTATTTATTTATTTATTTATTTATTTATTTATTTGAGAAGATAAACACCCAGGGTCTCAGTAAATCACTAAATTGTCCAAGCTGGGTTTGAACTTGAGATTCTTCTGCCTCAGCTTCCCAGCATGATGGAATTACATGTCTGCGCCACCAGGCCCGACTTCCTTACTGGCCTTTATATTTAAGGCTAATCTGTTCCACTTCTGCCTTCTTGGGGACTTTGCTCCATACATTTACCCTTTTCCTCTAAGTTCAAAATTTTCTTTTCTCCATTGGCTATTACTCTTTAACATATTATATCCTACCTTTGTCCCATCTTAAAAGAGAAAATTCCCTTAGACCACATCTCCCTTTAAATACGACCACATTGGGCAGAGGCTTTAGCTCAGTGGCTCCACACCTGTCTTGCCCGCATAAAGGGCCTGAGTTCAATTCCTGGTATCCAGGAAAAAAAAAAAATATGGCCACATCTCCTTTACCAGTCAAAGGTTGGGCAGAGAAGCCCTCAGTTCCTGCTTGGCCTACTTCTGTGCTGTTCCCATTCTTTTCCATTCCCTGCTGGCCAGCTAGCTCACACACATTCCCAAGCATGGAGCTGTCAGAGCAAATGGCGTGTGTAGCTTTCCAGCCCTCCTGGCAGCATGTGTCTCTGTTCATTAGGGTAATAAATACCCAGTGCCTACCGATCAGGCACTGTGCCAGGCGCTGCTGCTGTAGAAATGTGAAGACATGGTTCCCATTCTCATGGGACTCACCTGATCAGCCCTCCTGATCAACTCTTGTCACTTGATGTCCCCCACTCACCTCTGCAGGCTTCACTTAATGCCACTTCAATCTCCCTATTCTCCAAGTCTCCTTCCTTCCCTCCCCCATTCTCTTTTTTTTTTTTTTTTGTTTTGTTTGGTACCCCGGCTCTCCCCTATTCTCTTTCATCTTAAGGTAATCACTTCTACACCCATTACTTAAATTACTTTCTATAATCTTTGATAAAAATATACCTTTAACTGTTGATTTCATTTAAAAGTTTTATTTTACACAAGATACCTCATTTCCTAAAACTATAGATGCCAAGTCGCTCTATGAAAGTAGTCAGTAAGAAAAGTAAGATTGTTAGCATGTAAGTTTTAGGAAATTTCCCCAATTTTTGGTTTGAGTTAGTTTGGATGTTATTTTTGAAAGCACAAGTTGGAATGTCACAAATTGGACTTAGCTTACGTACAGAGGATATTCACCTTTCAATTGGAGAGCTCCATTTTGATATGCTACTTAACAGGAAAAAAAAATCTTCTTCCCCTACATCTCTTCCCACATATTTTTTGTCTAAGAGATGGCACTGTCGTGTACCTGGTCCCTCAAATCAGAACCTCAGCAATCTTTTTTGCCTTCTATTTTTCCTTCTCCTCCACACTTAGTCACCAAATACTTCCTATTTTATCTCCCAAATGACCACAAATCTTTTCCTCTTCTCTCACTGCTACTCCCTTTGGTTTGAACTCTTTCTCCTCTCCTGGATGAACATGGTCTCTTCATTGGTCCTGTTGTATCCTTTAATACTTCTTTATTGTCCAGAGAGAGCACATCACAAACACTTCTGAGAGTGACATCTTTTTTTTTTTGATAGTGACATCTTAATTTCACATCGTTGAATGACTCTTAGCTTTCTAAGTTAAAATTCAAACTCTTTGCTCAGCCATCTGCTTTGGAGTCAGACCTGGGCTTGCATCCCAGGTTCAAGCCCAGTCCCAGCATTGACCTCAGACGACTGGACTCCCCAAGCCTTTGTTTCTCATCTGCCTGACTCCCTGAGGGTTGGGACTGTTTCACACACAGAGTTCAACACCTAGAAGGAACTTAATCAATGTTGATTGAAGGGAAGGCACCTTCTCTTTAAAACAAACCCTAACATTCACTGTCACTTCCCCCGAAGTTTGACGTCTACCTTTACTTTCATATAATCAGGACAAGGTGCTTATGGGGAACCAGACTGAGACCCACATTTATTCCAGCCTCACCCTGAGCAGCATTGTGACCTTGGGAAAGTTACCTACTTCCTGCATTTCAATTTTCTTCTGTAAAATTTAAGATGGGATTGCTTTTGAGGGTTAAACGACTATCTCAGTAGGAACAGCATCAGGTACATAATACTTGCTAAATGATAAATCCTTTATCATCTTTATGGAATTAGGACCTTGGTACCCCACTTTATGCTTCACAGTTTTGTAGGAGAAAAATTATGCTTTATGCGGTGTTGGTAATGGGAGGAAAATCTGCAAACTCCTGCTGTATTGAGAAACAGGCAAGAGAAAGGAGAGGGGCTCGTTTGTTCCCATTCCACTGGCAAGGAAGTAGAGGGGTGAAGTGTCTGATGGGTCTTCGGGTCTCATTCAAGGCACACAGTCTCAACTCTACTGAGCGTAGGCCCTGGGATTGCCATGTCAAGTTGCAGGCAGAGAGGAGTTGCAAAAACTGCGACCAATCCGGAGGTAACTAACTTCAGCGGGCAAATGAAAGCTGTCAGCCGCGGAGAAACCAGAGCTTTACTAACCGTGGCTTTCTGTAAAGTCTGTTCACCCGGACCGCGTCCAGTCACAGACGGCACGGGTGCGTCCCGTAGGACTGGAGAGCACCGGGAAGCCACCGATGAATGAAAGCCGAGTCCTGACCCGCGCGAGGGGCGAGGCAGCCGCGGGAGGGGCGGGGGTCTGTGACGTAAGGGTTTGGGCGGGGCGGGAGGGAGCCTGGTTTGTGATTGGCTTCTGATAACCACGTGATCGAAGGCCGCGTTCCGGTTGGCAGGTGCTGGTGTAAAGGTCTTCTTTTGGGAGGTGGTTGAGGAAAAAGGAGGAGCTCTGATCGCGCTCTCTGCCGGCAGTGGCTGTGTTTCTCAGCGCTAGTCGGGTCCCCACCCCTTTTAAATAAGCCGGGTTGGTTGCCGCCCTCGCAGTCTAGTCTGCTCTGAGGGGGCGGCGGTGGCTGTGGAGGTGGCGGCGCGGCAGAGGCCGGAGCCCTGCCCCGGGCCGGACAGCGGGGCGGGCGGTCGGCGGGCGGGCTGGCGGCGAGCGCTCGGCAGGCGAGGCGGTGTCGGCGCGCGCGGAGAAGCCCTGGCATAACCTGGGGCTGCTCGCGCCATTGTTGGGGGAGGGGGCGCCCGCCGAGCGCCACGGGGTCGGGGCCGCGTGAGGCACCGGCGACGGCGGAGAGGCGCGCCGGCGCCCATGGGGAACACGCTGACCTGTTGCGTGTCCCCCAGTGCCAGCCCCAAGCTGGGCGGGCGCAAGGAGCCGCCGGAGACCAACTATGAGTCTGAGACTTGCGCGGCGGCGGCCGGCGACGCGGTGGCGGTGGGGGTAGCGCAGGCGCCAGCGGCCGTGGGGCCCTCGGAGTTGGATCTCGGCGTTGGCGAGGGCCACCACCTACAGCACATCAGCGACCGGGAGATGCCCGAAGGTAAGAGGCAGCGGTCGCATCTCTGCTTCCGCCCCTGAATCCCTAGGGAGGCGGCCGCCGCCTCGGGCTCCTTCCTGCCCGGAGCTGGGCACCGGAGGGCAGCCTGCCTCTCCCTCGTCCCGCGACTGCCAAGGTTTATACCACTCACCCCGTTCCCTGACGCCCAGTTCTTGACCCCTCTTATGTCCCCATCCCAGTCTGGGACCTTTCCTGTTTGTAACTCTATACTTCGTCCTTTGGGACTTTAGCAAGAGTTTTTTGGATGTGTATTTCCTTTACTGAAGGAAAATTGAGATCCTCCAACTTTAGAGCATCCTTCTCGTCTCCCTCTGTTTACAACTACCCAGATGGTACTAAGTGAACGAGCAGGTAAGAGCCTGCTTGTGCCCTTCCGCCCACCCAGTAAGGTGCCGCAGCAGGTAGACCCAAACGTTTGAAGATTTTAAAATTTGAATTCAAATAGAGTTTGCTACAGCAGTTTATATGGTGGTGCGAAGTAGCTTCTTTTAAGTTGTCTTTTAAGAAGCTGTATTATTCCAACAATTTGAGCACAGAAGGAAAGGAAAGGGGAGTGGACCCTAAAATAACCCCGAAAGGTGCAAATGATACCCCCCCCCCATGTTTACTCATAGAGTTCTGGTTACTTTACAATTCCCACTTTACAATTATATCTCCAGACCTACTCAGGTCACGTCACAGACTTCATTTTTCTGAGTAGTTCGTGGGATTGTCGATCAGACGTTTCAAAAGACGCACAACAAAGTTTAGGTTTTCCTGAGTACTGGAAAGGTTTGCGACTTAAAGCGCCGGGCCTTGGCTCCTGGAGGGTTTGTTGCCATGGCTTCCCCTCTCTTCCTCCCGGCTCTTGCCAGTGGATCAATGCTCAGCTGCTAAGAATGTTGAAGTAAAAGGAAAGTTCTTCGACTAAACCACAGGGGTGGGGGAGGGCGAGGGCTTGGTTTTTACCCCTGGAATTTTGGAAAGGGACCAATCTAGGTAAAAATAGTTCTGGGTAACGCCGTGGTTCTTGAATGAAGACTAAATCCATTTGGCTCTTCCAAATACAGAGGAAGCCTGTGTATGTCCTCCCTGCGTTGCTGATGAAGAAATGAAGATAGGGAGTGATTTGTAAGGCAGCTTCTGGCCAACTCCAAACTCAGACCATGGAAGTGATACGCCAAATTGAGTTTTTACGAAAGACTTTTCAGAATGCATCAGTATTTTACCTATAAAGTTGATCTCTCTCTTTTACTGTCTCCTGTCTTAATTTCATTTAAGGTTTTCACACAGTTCAGAGGCAACAGTTACTTCTGTGTCCCTTGTCTGTGCATTTATTTTAATGGATAAAAGTAAAAAAGTAGATGCAATGGAATGGCCTGAATTTACTAGTTACAGCTGCCAGTGGTTTCATTCTGATAGCCATGAATTGAAGCTGAAAATGTTGGGCACAGTGCAATGTTAGGAGAAGCCAGCAAGAGGGGAAGTGAATATAGGACAGTATGTGCTAAGTCAGAAAATCAGGAAAATAGTGTGTGAGAGTTTGTTGTTTTATGTTTACTAACATGACAATTTTCATTTCAGTTTATCTTTTAAAATTATACTTTTAGGGCTAGGGATGTAGCTCAGGGGTAGAGCACTTCCTTAGCATGCATAAAACCTTGGGTTGGATCTCTAGGACTGCAAGAAAAAGAAAGTTTTTGGCATTCAATAAAATGCTGAGAGGGCCGGGGATTTGGCTCAGTGGCACCGCGTCTACCTCACAAGTGCAAGGTCCTGAGTTCCATCCCTGGCATCAAAAAAAAAAGTGCCGAGAAACCTCAATTTCAGTATTTGGCTACTCCACGATTCCATAGAAACAGTGTCAGAACACCAAATGTAAAGTATAGACACGTTGACAATTTGCTTTTTATCTTTATTTCAATTTTCCCTGGAAACTGAGAAGTTCCTACTTAGATATAAAACAGTTTGGCTCTTCTACTATAAAGAATTGAATTTTTATTTCTTAGATAAAATTATATATAAAAGATACTCTGCTTTGTTCTTCTCTTTGAATAACACTTCTTCAAGTCATTTCAGAGATATTCCTGAGAACCTGCTGCAGATTTCAGATACACTCGAAAGTATTTTCTACTTCTTTGCTGTTAACATTATGTCTAATATAACTGATGGTAATATCAATAACAAATAAGATACTGAGGTCTCATTAGTCCAGTTTTATTGTCACTCACCAACTTCTCATTCAGCCTTTTATGTTCTGACCATTGGAGCTCTGCTAAATTATTGGCTAAAGGTGCTCTCTCAGGTGACCCCTTCCTCCTGTCCTTGAGGGATGAAGGGAGAGAGGGAATGGCCAAGATGATGTGGAAAAACCTCTGAGCAACAGATCTGTCCTCTTTCTAGGAGCTATTTTAGACCCTCCTTTTTATAACAATAATGTGCTCGATGTAAAAGATTTTAGAAAATACAGAAAAGTCATTCGGGCTAATTTTTTGTTAACATTTGGTGTCCTCCCCCCTTTTACATTTCTGGAGATTGACCTAGGGCCTTGACCCTGAACTACATTCCCATCCCCTTACCTTTTTTTTGGTAGTGGTGGTGGTGGTGGGGCTCTTCCTAAGTTGCCCAGGCTGGGCTGGAACTTGGGATCTTCCTGCTTTGACTCCTAGAGTGCTGGGATTACAGGCATGTTTCAGAACTTTTATATGCATATAAATACAACATTCTGTGTATTTCATGAACATGAGATCTTGTTATATGTGCTGCTTTGTGCCTTAATGAAATATTGGCACAGAGCTCCTAGAACAGTGCTTGATACCTATAGGGTGTTCCAGGATATCTATCCGTGCCAGTGCACACTGCTCTTATCTCATGCCTTTTTGTAATGTAACTGCTTAGTGTACCATTGAATGGTTCGGCCATCATTTATTTACCTGTCCCTTATAATGGCATATTTTATAATAAAACTGTATACAACCCCATTAAATGTTTGGTTTGGGGTACATATAACATTTGATGACTAATGAATTGTATCTCCTTCCTGCAGGATTCAGATGGTATATTTTGTCATTGAGCCCATAAGACCAATTTTTTTTTTTTTTTTGGTACTGGGGATCGAACTCTGGTCCTTGCGCTTGCGCAGCAGGCAGCAAAACCACTGAGCTAAATCCCCGGCCCCGGTCCAATCATTTTTTAGTTAAGGCATTTTAGTATCAGATGCTCTTAGGCCAAATTGAAGTTACTATTGGCTTTTCAACAGACATTAGAATTCCTCTCTCAGGCTTTTGTGCTTTTTAATAACCTATCTCATGTCTTAATTCTGAATAGTTACCACTCTTAAGAGGAGTGCAGATAATACTTGTCTTAGGTGATAAATCAGGACCCAGCATTAGAAGAAATCTTAGAAGATATGGGAAAACAGAACTTATTTTGAGTAACTGGAATATGTCTTTTGAGCCTCCTTGAGGCAGGCAGTGTTCCAGATACAGGGGAAGCAGTGGTCTACAAAACTAAAAGCTAAAATTGGGTAATGATTGGGGAGGACAACAGTTTTACATGAGGTTGTGAAAGATGACTGTCCTTGGAGTGCTGTCTAAACAGTCCTAAAAGTGAGCACCCGTGGGTGGGAACACATTTCCCTGTAACGGGTAGTTCTTTAGTTTTCCCTGAATGTGAATGTGCAGCAGAGTGAAAAGGATGTGAGGAGGAAGTTGGTAGGTTAAGGCTTTTGTGTGCCTTGGAAAAGAATATGGACTTTAGTCCATATTATTTAACTGTAATAGGAAACCTTTGGAGGATTACAAGTTAGAGAATATGCCCTTAAAGTCCAACCATGCTGTGTAAGAAAACTGATGCAGGCACCATGGGAAACGAGATTACTGGGATTCTGGTGCTGTGGTTCAAGGGACAGCAACAGTGGCTTGGAGAAAAAAATGAGCCTGTTACCTTAAAACATTAAAAGAAAAGTGAATCTAAAAGCAGGTGAGGCAGATATGAATAGACAAGTCACAGAAAAGGGAATACAAATGATGTTTAAGCGTATCTCCACACATAAGAGAAATACAAAAATGAAGGCGACGTTGTAGTTTCTCTCCTATTAGGAGAAAATCCAAAACTTGATAGTACTATCTTGGGTGGGAACATGAAGGAGTTTGATAGAAATGCAAAATGGTTTGATCCCTTCAGGGAGAATTTGGCACACTTACATTGCAAATGCATTTAATCCAGAAATCTTACCTGAAGGAATAGATCTTAAAGGTGTACCAC